CTTCTCTTATTACAAAGGGAATATATGCGCATCGCTCTCTGCAAATCCCTAGGTTACCTTACCCTCTTCAATACATTTATTAAGTTAATAAACCAACCACTCCAAATCTATATCCCTCTGTTTTTAGCAAATTTCTATCTTTTAGCCCACCAGTCCCAGCTGCCTTACCCCTTTCATTATACCACTGCCTCATGAATTTTCCCCACACTCACAACTGGCTCTTCCTCATCTCCTACAGATGTTGTATTCCTCCTTTCCCTCTACACGAAATCACAGTCTTCCCGTATCTTCTTCAAAACATTTAACAATTCCTCAAAAGAATATTCCCTCCATCTTTCCGATCCTCTAACATCTTCATTTTAATAACTTTCCTCTCCTATTTTTAACTGTCAAATCCATTTGTTTCTAGGCTTCCTCAACTTATTATCTCACTCCTCAAAAAAACCTTTTCTTATTTTCAACAAAATTTGTTGATAACATTGTCACCCACTCTCTTTCATTTGACTGTTCTTGTTTACATTACTTCACACTTCTCTTAACCTCTCTCTTTCTCTTCCATATTATCTCTTCCCGTCCTTGTATCACCTTTACTTTGTATAAAAAACTCTCGTATGCTAACTTTTTCTCCTTCATTACTTACTTCTTTACATCGCATCATTACCATCTCAATCGCTTTTTGTTCCCCTACTGCACCCAATTTTCCTGGTAACTCACTAAACTTCTGCTGTTCACTAACACTACATTCTGAACCTGTAGCACCCAACATCTTTTGACCCCATTAGCCTTACACTCTTACTAGTAGCCATCTAACCTCGCCAATAAGTTGTTATATCATAACCCTAACTGCCTTCCTCTTTTAGTTATACACTTACACTCTCTTCTTACCTGTTGCTTCTATGTTTCCTTGTATACTCAAATCATACCGCCATATTTTATTGTTTTATACAATTATTTCTTATTTATAACTGTACCATCATTCAGTGTTTTCCTTACAAAACTAGTAATCTAGTGCGAGCTTTCCTCAAAAACTCCATTTTCTGTTTATAAAAAGACCGTTGATGGGAAGCAGATGGTCAGGGCTGGGGCGGCAGATTGGCGCCACCACACTCATCAACAGTGTATGATATATTTTATTTTCTTAGAGTATATATTATGTTTCTATTGTTAGTTATATTGTTTTATATGTTGTTTTAGATGAATTGTGATATACAATTAGCCAAAGAAGTGATATTAGTATCATATTGCAAAGTACAGTTGGTTACCATTGGCTTACGTGTTTAATTCATTCTGTGACCGAGTTGTAACTGAATTTTGCTCATATATTAAATCAATGTTTTTCCTCTTTGAAATTTATTTATTTATTTATTTTATTATTATTAGGGCATGATACATAGTTGTATACAAAAGAAATACCAGCGGTTAAGTGTCTAATACAAAATGCCCCTTGTATGCAGAGCAGTAATGGGAAGCTTAAATTAAGACTTAAAGATTAAACTAAGCAATGATATATTCAGAGGTGAAAAATACAGTAAACAAATTACAACATGAAGTAACAAATAAGTATTTAAAATAAGAATTTGTAGCACAAATATAGTTTAAATCGGGTCAAATCGAGCAAAATCATATGATTTGTTTAATGAGAAGAAAACGGTCATATGGCCATTTGATGAGTTACTGTGCATTCAAGAGAAATGGAGTTATTCTTTAGGTAATGTAATTAAAAAAAATACATCTAGTTTGGAGAGTCACAGGCTAGTACATTTATTGGAGTACAGTAAATACAGTATTTATTTAGTTGTGGGTGATGTAAGTGTTTTTAAGAGTCGCTTGAGTGATAAAACAGGTCATGATTGTCTGACTGTGTTTCTGTCTTTCTGTCATTCTACTAGTCTCTCTGTCTTGAGAGAGAGCTGCTCGTGAAACTCCAACGGTATTACACTGCGAAGCAGAGTCGGTCAGCATCTTTTTTAGATTTTGCCACCGAAGTGGCTAGTTTAGTGTGTGCACACCCCCATTATCCAATACTGTGGCGATGGTGGTGCGCAAGAGAGCATATATGGATACACAAAACGGGCCTAGGAAACTAGGCCCCAAAGGTTGGTTAACAGGAAAAATACTATGGATTTTTTATATCTACATCTCTTGTAAGTTCAACTATCTGTTATTCAAGCAAATTCTAGGAAATCTTGCTTAGTATTGTCTGGGTATCTTATTTTCATTAATAAGAATATCTTGAAATGCCACATAGGTTATTATACTGTCTGTTCTGGTATTCCTCAATAAGGTGGACAATCTAATGCACATAGTGTTCAGAGGGTGGACCGTAATACCTGGGTCACATAATTTACAATTTAGTTTGATCATTTCTGTGTGTCTATCCCATAAACTGCCAGAAAAGTACTGTAATGACCTAAGGCCTATGCTTGGCACTACAAACATTCAGTCAGTTGTTCACATTGCACGTTGCCTCCATAAAACATACTTATCTACGTTCATGTTTGTCACAGTGGGTTATAGATCTACTCAGGCTTCTAACTTCAGACATTCCTATAAACAATCATTTTTTCATTATTTACTTCTCTCCTCAATATTTTTCTAATGCTAGACACAGTTATGTCCAAAGTTATATCGACATTCTCCTTCTGTGGGTTAACTCTTCTTGGACTAACATATGTCAAACTTTTAGTCAGATGAAGGATTTAAATCCAATGTGTGATGGGATCCATAGCAATTGTACATTTATAATTCCTTTTCCATAATTTTGAGTATTCTATTACCTGGCATCTCCAATGAGCCATGTTGTTGAGAGTCATTATATGAATCAGAGCCTTCAATGATGGACAGACATCAGTGTAGAATGATGATAGAGTGTCAAGCTTCAGTGTCATAGTTAGCTTTTGCGCCATTAGGATGCAAAACAATTCAAGTTGTTGCAGTGGTAAGACGCCCAGTTCTTAAAATTCTTATGCCTAACTCAACAAATTTATTATTGGTTTTTAACAAGGGAGGTTGGCAACATTAAAGTCATCGGATGCAGCCCTGCCAGAAGGGACTCCGTTTAGAATTCCTCCAATCAGTGTATATTAACTTGGTGATAACTTATTACTACCAGCTAGGTGAGAAATTTCTTCTTGAGCGTTGCTCTATACAAGAGAATTTAAGGAAAGGGATATTACTAGCAATGAGCTTCTTGGGAGGGACTTTGCAGGTATGTGATACGCTAAATGAACATTCTTCCACGGGAGGGGTGAAAATGGCTCTTGTTGCCTACAGTGATACAGTTCCATGCAGGTTATAAAACCTTGATGTAATTGCACTGTTTTCATCAAGCCATTTTAGATCTGTGTGTAATGTACCTCTAGACCACTTGGTAAGATTCTTTGTGACAGTGTGCTGGTTCGTTTTCTCAGCATTCTAATACGAGTACAGTGTTAATTACAATAATCTATCACTTATATTGGAATATACCTAAGCTCCTTCCTCATGTAAGAACTTTTGTAGATCTGGGGACAGCAGAAGATTAATCGCCACTGAGAGTTCGTTTCCTAAACAAGTGTAAATATGAATATTACTGCCAATCAGCTTATTATGTTCTTATATCTACAAGCATAGTACTGGTTAGCACTTTGTCTGGATTTTTTTGGGTTATCTAGGTAATTTTCACTGGTGATGTGAGTAACTGTATCTATGCATAACTGTGAGACAGAGACAGAGGTAGACAGTAGAACAGAGGGTAGACAGAGATAGACACACAGACAGATAGAGATAGAGGACAGAGAGATAGCTACAGACAGACAAACAGAAGGAGATAGGTGACAGCCAAAGCGCAGGGGCCGGCCTGCCCCAAACATGTATTACACATGTTCCAGAAATGCTGTCTCTTTACTTAGGGTATACGTTATAGAACATACTTGCAGGATGACACTACAGCGATATCAAAATTGAAAGGGATGTTTAGCATATTTGGTTATTATCGAGGTTTGTTGAAAGTTTCCTCTTACTCTCGTGAGTTAGCGGCATTTCTGAAGCTCGCTCCATAACTCGGATTTGTCTCGCAATCAAAGCAAAATAATAGACTGAGCGACGGCTCAGAACTCGGAAAACTGTAAATTGGGGCACTTGTAAGGTCAAGATATCCACTGTATTTTGTCCTGCAGGAACTTCTCTTGGAACGGTATTAACGGTATTTCAGTTGAATTTTTAAATGGGGAAAAAGCTTATATTGTATGTACGAGAAAATGAAGTTATCTGCAAGGTCACGGATACGGGGTAAATAAACTCTTTAAGTCAAGGTTCCACTATACTATATGTATTTCTGAGTTATGAGTTTTAGAAATTTGTTGAAGGTGAGGATTGTGCATTAGTTTCTTGGGAGGTTAAGTGGTCATAGGTTGGAAGAGACATAGGTTTAACTGCGCACAGTGGTGAGAAATGCTGTTGTTTTCTAGTATGATTGTAAATTCATGTAGTTTATAATGTTGTTTATATGTGGCTGTTATTTGCAATGTCACCAGAGGGGTGTGAAACTGCTGCATCCCTTGAAAATACCTAGAGAGTATTTTCCAGGTATATTGCTGCATACCTGTAGTATACCTGGAGAATATTCTCCAGGTTAGCTACAGCTTCAACCCTCTAGTGACAGCATCCTTCTCACACAATGGAGACCTGAGTTCGCTCCCCAGCAACTGGTGAAACACTGGCCAGTTGCCTTAACCTGCTGCCCCTGTTCACCTAGAAGTATGCAGGTACCTGGGTGTTAGTCGACTGTTGTGGGTCGCATCCTGGAGAAGATTAAAGGACCTCACAGGAAATAAGCTCAACAGTCCAGATGACGCCCGGGCTTCACTGGGTTACCCTGGGTGGCTAACCTTCCATCTTAAAAATTGAAAAAATTTTTTATCCAGGTGATCAGAGCTCCTGAGAAACTCTTGCTATCCATCTTTCCGCCGCCTTCATCAAATTCTCACAATTTTATTTTAAAATCTCGCATTTTTGCTTACCTCACATGTAACTCTTACAGTTTTAGTTGCTCCTGAGCTATGTAAATTGAAGAAAATTTTCCCAAAAAATTATGGAAGTAATCAACTTTCTTTCTTCGTCTTGTTGTTGAGTTATTAAGGGCCAGTGACAGCTTACCAGTATCAAGCTCAGCTCCCGGTAGTTAGTTCAAATGAGTAAGTTTATTCGGGTTTATACACAAAATAGTTACATAGAATTATCATACATAGCAGCATATGTGAGAGAACCTGGATAACCCAAAAAAAGTCCAGGGACTGGGCCCCCAAAGTTTTGATAGCTAAAATGGGTACAAATCAATGAACTCAAAAGTTACAAAGGTAATGATCCTGTAAGGGTTACAATGTGGGGTTTACAGGATTTGGATATTGTGTGGTTTACGTGTTATAAAATACTAATTACAGATAAGATTTCGTTCGGATTTTTAACCCCGGAGGGTTAGCCACCCAGGATAACCCAAGAAAGTCAGTGCGTCATCGAGGACTGTCTAACTTATTTCCATTGGGGTCCTCAATCTTGTCCCCAGGATGCGACCCACACCAGTCGACTAACACCCAGGTACCTATTTTCTGCTAGGTGAACAGGACAAATCGTGTAAGGAAACGTGTCGAAATGTTTCCCCCCACCTGGAATCGAACCCGGGCCCCCCCGTGTGTGAAGGGGGAGCTTTAGCCACCAGGCCACTGGGAAACCCCTAGCATGATTTGGGCTTTTTCGGGAAAGACTTAGATTAATTCTTAACATTAAATTCCTTACGATTAGGGTTTATTATGCATCCATACCCATCCTGTGGGCGGTAGTCAAAGATTACAGAGGTACATAATGGGCCCAGGGACTGGGTCCCCAAAGTTTTGATAGCTAAAATTTAGGTACAAATGCAAGAACTCACAAGTTACAAAGGTAATGAACCCTGTAAGTAAAATTTACTTAGGTTTATACATGGTACAGCCCATGAACAAATTTTATTTTATTTATTTATTTATTTTTTTATTTTATGTTTTTGCAAACAGTACATTGAGATTTTGTTTTTTACAATAGTGGGTTGCATGCAGAGAGACCCTCTATTTTTGCTTAGGCATTAGGGACCAACTTAATATTATTGGCTTACAGCCCTACTTAATACTAAGGATTTATAGCTTTAGTTGTACAGTAGGATAGTAATTATTCTTAGTTGTACAGTAGAATATTAATTATAAATGAATCAAAATTTGTAAAATAAAAAAGACATTTATATTCAAAAAATCCCTTTTTTTGAAAACAATGATTCATTATATTCCTGTCAACAAGGGAAATAAAAGGTTCAATGTGATTGTTTCAGTTTGATGTGGGAGTACTAGGTGAGTAAGTGTGTACTGGGGTATTTAGCGTTTAGTCAAGGGTGATTTAATGGCTTTTGAGAAGAGTCTTAAAATTGATTCAGACTGGGTTACTTTAATATCTTCTGGTAAATAAATTCCATATTTTGGGGCCCTTTATGTGCATAGAGTTTTTACAGTGTGATATGGGACACGAGGTATATCAAAAAGAGATCTGTGTCTTGTGTTTGTGGTCATTTGCCCTTGTTTAGGTTGGTGAGGAGAAGTTTGAGTGGGGGTTTATATTTGCGTGTATTGTTCTGTGTATGTAGTAGGCACATGAATAAGTATGGATGTTCTTAATGGTGAGCAGATTCGACTTCTGAAAATTGGTGGATTTATGCTGGGGGGAGTGGGAATTCGTTATCTTTTCTTACTGCTGCCTTTGCGGGGTTTTATTAGGGGTTTTAGGTGATTGGATGTTGTTGATCCCCATGCACAAATTCCCATATGTATGATAAGGGTATATGAGTGAATGGTACAGTGCCAGGAGAGCTGATTGTGGAAAGTAGTACCTTATCTTTGAGAGTATGCCTACAGTTTTGGAGAATTCTTGGGTGATTTGTTGAATGTGTGTCAAGGTGGAACCCAGGAATTTTCCCCCTGTGAGTCTTGTGACTGATGATCCATTTAGCATTATGTTAATTGGTTTATTTGTAGCTTTGTTTCCAAATTGAATGAAATAGGTTTTTTTCAGTGTTCAGGAATAAGTTTGTTAGTCTTCATCCTGGCAGATATTTTCTGTGATTCAGCATTGACTGTGTTTGATAGTATGACTGTGTTTGGGTGGGAAAAGGGCATATGTAGTGTCATCTACAAATAATATGGGTTTGAGTAGCTGTGATGCATTCGGTAGATCATTGATGTAGATAGAAAGAGGAGTGGTCCCAAAGGGCGCTTCCTTGTGGGACTCCCACTGTGATTGGTTGGGGTGGAAGAGTTGCATCATTTGCATACACATATTGAGTTCTGTTACTAAGGTATGACTTTAGGTAGTTGAGGGAGTGGCCTCTGACCCCCATAGTGCATTAATTTGGAGTACAGCAGTTCATGGTCGACTGTAGTTAGTTAGTTTTTAATATCTTTATTATGCACCCCATACCCATCCTGTGGGCGGTAGTCAAAAGATTACAAAGGTACATAATGGTCGACTGTATCGAAAGCTTTACGTAAATCAATGAAAATGCCCAGCGGGACTTCTTTCTTTTCGAGTGCGGTATATATTAGTTCTATCATGTGTATGATAGCATCATTTGTGCTTTTATTATTCCTGAATCCAAACTGACAAGGGTTTAATATGTTGTGTGAAACGAGGTAGGAATAGATCCGTCTATGAATTTTAAATTTTTTAAAGATTTTAGAGAGCAGTGGTAAGTTAGAGATTGGTCTATAGTTATTCAAGTCAGCTTGGTCACCTCCTTTATGGGGTCGGAATGACCCTCGCAATTTTGATGATTGTTGGGAAGGTAGATGATTCAGTGGATTTGTTAAAAAGTGTTGCAATAACTGATGACAGTACTTGAGAAGCTTTTTCGTACATAAAAGCCGGTAAATTGGCTAATCTTCCTGCCTTGTTTTTAAGGGTGTTTATGATGAGCGTAACTTCAATGGGGTTGGTTGGAGCTAGAAATAGCGTATTTGGTAGGTACCTATGAGGTAGTCTGATGGACGGGTGTTTGTGCTTGGTATTTTGTTTGCTAGATTTTTTTTCCTATGGTGGAGAAGAAAACGTTAAGTTTGTTTGTGTTTCGGTTGGAGTGAGTTTACCTGGGTTTACCTGGAGAGAGTTTCGGGGGTCAAAGCCCCCGCGGCCCGGTCTGTGACCAGGCCTCCTGGTGGATCAGGAGCCTGATCAACCAGGCTGTTGCTGCTGGCTGCACTCAAACCAACGTACGGGGCCACAGCCCGGCTGATCAGGAACTGTCTTTAGGTGCTTGTCCCAGTGCCAGCTGAAGACTGCCAGGGGTCGTTGTAAAACCCCCTTATGTGTGCTGGGGGGCAGTTGAACAGTCTCGGGCCCCTGACACTTATTGTATGGTCTCTTAACGTGCTAGTGACACCCCTGCTTTTCATTGGGGGGATGGTGCATCGTCTGAAGTTTTTGTTTGTAGTGGTGATTTTGGTGCAAGTTCGGTACTAGTCCCTCTAGGATTTTCCAGGTTTTTAATAATCAGTATTTTCCCCCTCCTGCGTTCCCAGGGAATACAGGTTTAGGAACCTCAATGCTCCCGTAATTGAGGTTTTTATCTCCGTTATGCGCCCCCGTGAAAGTTCTCTGAAATTTTCTAGGTCGGCAATTTCACTTCCCTTAAAAAGGTGCTGTTAGTGTGCAGCATATTCCAGCTAGATGAAAAAGTGCCCTGAAGGGGTGTCATCGGGGGTTTGGGCCTCCCTAGTTTTGGGTTCTCATGATCCTTCGCTTTTTTCTAGCAGATGCGATTGTACAATGTTTGGTCCTTGAAGGTGAGATCCTCCGCATGATCCCCCCCCCAGGTCTTTGACGTTGGTGTTTCGTCTATTTTGTGGCCCAAAAATTTGTTTTGTACTTGATGAAGATTTAATTTCTCATTTTTCCCATATTGATTTTAATTGAAATTTCCCATCGTTAAAATTCTATTTTTTTCTGCACCCCACTGAAAGATTTTTTTTGATGTCCCCCTAAAGCCTTGCAGTGTCTGAAATGGGGGACCCCGTAGCGTTTCGGGTGTCATCTGAAAAGGAAGGGACCGGTGCGGGGACCCCTTGTTTTGTCGGATATGAGGTGAGGAAAAAGAGGGGATGTACGGGCCCTTGGGAACAGGCTTTTTACCGTAGCTCCCTCGGACTTTATCTTTTGGGACGATACTCTTGTGTTCTCTTAGTGGGGAAAATTTTGACCCATCGACCGACTTTTCTGTTTTTCCTTTAGCACGTTTTGTGCGCATTACGCCATGGTCACACTTGTGAAAGGCTTTTGCAAAGTTGTATTAAAACATCTGCATTCTTTTTGTCTTCTAGTGATTTAGGACCTTGTGTATGATCCCCAATAGTTGAGACAGACAGGAGCGACCTGTTTTAAACCCCTGTTGCCCTGGGTTGGTAATGATGGGGTTTCTAGATGGGTGGTGATTTGCTTTTGGACCCTTTTAAAGATTTTTATGATATGGGATGTTTGTGCTATTGGTCTTAGTTCTTTTTGTTTCTTTCTGCCCCCTTTGTGGAGTGGGCTATGTCTGTTTTTTTTGTAACTGTGGGCGACCCCGGTCCAGCCCCTTCCATAGGATGGAAAAGGCTCGTGATAGGGCTTCTTGCGTTCTTGATGAAAAACCGAGTTCCCCGAGTTGGCCTGGGGCAGAGTGCTGGGCATGTCATTTTTGCCTGTTCGAAGTCATTTTTGGCGCGGATAACATGGATAGGCTTGTGTTATAAAATTTTGGGCTCTCTCATAAATTCATTTGATTTCGACTTCAGTTGGTTAGCGGTTTAGTAGGGGTTCATTGATTTTTTTTGTTTGATTGTTTTGTTTTTGGAAAACTTTTTAGTTCAAGAATTTCTTTGGAGTTTTCAGTTTTTTTCATATACCTCTGATGTTATGTAATCTATTTTCATAATACAATTTTTTTGCCTTCTTTTCGGTGGTAAGTGTGACGAGTAACTTTTCGACTGTTCTCTAGCTATTTGCCCATTATACTGTTTTTCATATTTGTGCTTTGTTG